GGCTTCTTCAGATGTTCAGAAGTGAAATTCTTCAGAATTGAAGGCCTGAAGTTCTTCAGATCTTCAGAACTGAAGAAGCTTCTCGGATGAGAAGCGAAACGTTCTCAAAGAAAGAAAGAAAAACTCCAGTTGTTGTTTGAAAAAGCACCTTTGGGACAACTCCTACTCAACCATTTTCAACTCATAACTTATCTCTGCTGGTAGTTATTTCCCTGGCGGATATTATGCTTTATTTATTTACTTTTGTTCTGCTTGTTTGCTTCCTTTTCCTTAAACCATTGAAAAGTTATGGATTTGTTTCTTTGCCACCCTTCCTCTCGAACAAACCCAAAGGCCGAGTCGTGCCAATGGGAAGAGGAAACGTCTTCCCAAATCTTGGTGTAAAAAATGCTTTCCGTTCATTTGCACTTCCACTTCCTCCTTGGCCTCGTGATGTCCCTTCAGTTTCAAGAGTTCTGGAGATTTCTGCTTGTGCAATCCACGATGTGCACATCACTCCTCACCCCAACTGTGGTTGTGCCAATTGTCTGTGTGCAATTTTGTCTTATGCAGAGGCTAAAATTCAGCATGCTGTGGGGGAGGTGGTGTTGCGAGTGGGCACCTCCTTCTCATGAAATGACTGTTTTTATGAGAAAACCAAAAAGGACTTGCGGAAAATGGGCTGTGAAGGTAACCTTTCTTCAGGAGAATTCTTAAGCTCATGGCTTTCTGCTGTTGGCTTCCGGCGTGTCTTTTTAGTATCAGACATCAAGCAAAGGGTTGAGTAGACTCCATTGCAAGGCTACCAACCCAACATCGACGAAAGGGCATGTCAATGCATTCTGCAGCAGTCCAAGGTGCTTTGGAAAGCACCTTTCCAAAAACACATGTTCTAATGGACAAAGAACCATCCTGGTAAAAATATTCAGAGAAGATATTGAGTCAGAACCATCTCACAGGTAGCCCTTGACTTACAACGGTTGATTTAGTGACTGTTCAAAATGATGGCACAGAAAAAAAGGGACTTATAACAGTGGTGGGATTCAAATAAATTTACTACCGGTTCTGTGCACGTGGCTTGGTGGGCATGGCAAGGGAAGGATCCTGCAAAATCCCCATTTGCTCCCCACCCCACTAACCTGCTTTCCAGCTCCGTTCTCCTGTGCAGGGCAACCAAAGAAGACCCAGCCAATCAGCTGGGACTCGGGAGGCAGAGAATAGATGGGGGCGGGGCCAGTCAGAGGTAGTATTTGCCGGTTCTCCGAACTACTCCAAATTTCCGCTACCGGGTCTCCAGAACTGGTCAGAACCTGCTGAATACCACCTCTGACTTTATAATCATTTTTTCACACTTCTGACTGTTGCAGCATCTGCAAAGTCACACGATCAAAATTCAGACGCTTAGCAACTGACTCCTATTTAGGATGGTTGCAGTGTCCCGGGGTCACGTGTTTCACTTAACAACTGTGGCAAAAAAAAAGTAAAACAGGACAAAATTCCCTTGACAAATGTTTCACTTTTTTATGTTATTATTTTAGTTTTGCATTTTAGTATTTAATGACTATGGGCCTCGCTAGCAGTAGTGTGCTACCGGTTCGGACTGGCTCGGTCAAACTGGTAAAAAAAAAGGGGGGGGGGGGCCAACAATCATCTGAGAGGAAAAAGAAGGAAAAAGTGCAGGATTGGCCCTCCCAGCTGTACCTGCGCTTTTCTCTTCTTTATCCCTCTCAGGTGATTGACGTTGCAGGTCTCAGGTGGTGTGTGGAAAGCTGCACGCCGGCGTTAGGCAAGGCACGCCCACCAAGCCACGTCCACCGAACTGGTGGCAAATCAATTTTGAATCCCACCACTGGGCCTCAGTTTATGGACTGATGTTATAGTGTAGTCCGGCCACGTGTAACTGACCGACTGGATGCCAAATTATGATTTTAATGTTGATTTTATCTGTTGTTTATTATTTTGTCCTAGAATTTTTAACTGGATATTCATTGAGTGTTTTTATTTGTTCGGGTCTCTGGTCTCGGACTGTAATAAACTGGATTGTAAATGTTTCACTTAGCAGCCATTTTGGATTCAATGGTGGTCTTAAGTTATAGAAATACTACCTGTATTATGAATGTCAGAGAAAAGAGATGTTTCCAAAAGAGATGTTTTAATAGATGAAGAACCATTCTGGTAAAAACAGTTGTGCCAAAAATATTCAGAGAGGATACGGAGTCTTTTGGTAAAGGAATGCTTCATATCCCATCACGTTCACTTCGTTTCAAGTAAATGGAAGGCCACCATTATGCCACAGATATATTGACATGTTTCTTTCATTTAATGGGCATCCTTTGATGGAACCCATGGGAAGGTAATGGGGTTTTTTTTCCCCTTCAACTGAAAAACTTCTATAGCACGAAGAAGTTGAAGTCCACCTATCTGGAAATGGCCGAGGGCCTTAATGTCAACCTGGTTCAAGTGAGGCTGGCTTGGATTTCCCAAACATAGCTGGCTGATGGCTAAATGATGTGGGTATTGGAAAATTTCATGTCTAAAAATATGGGAAATCTGTGTCGGTAAGGAGTATGGCTATATGCCAGATTGCCTAGCCCTATCACTCCCTATTTTTCGGTGGAGTGTGTCAACAATTTGAGGAGTGGATAAAGTGCCCACTCCAAATAGTTCTCAGTTTGCCCATCTGGGAAATGGAAGAGGGAAGATCCTGAGAAGGATCAGGGAAGACATGAGAGCAGTGCTCCAATATTTGAGGGGCTGCTACAGAGAGGAGGAAGGGGGTCAAGCTTTTCTCCAAAGCACCCGAAGGCCAGACAAGGAAGAATGGATGGAAAGTGAACAAGGAGAGATTCAATTTTCTGACAGGGAGAGCAATCAACTGGTGGAGCAGAAGTTGCCTTTAGAAGATGTGGGAGCTTCACCACTGGAGGCTTTCAGGAAGAGACTGGACTGCCATTTATCAGAAATGGTGTAGGGTCTCCTGCTTGGGTGGGAGGTTGGACTAGATGACCTACAAGGGCCCTTCCAATTCTGTTATTCTGTATTCTGTATTCTATTATCAGCATGATAACCATTAACCAGTGGAAGGACTTGCCTCCCGAAATCGTGGATGCTCCATCACTGGGGTTTTTAAAGAAGAGACTGGATATTTATCTGAATTGGTAGAGGGTTTCCTGCTCAAACAAGGGCTTGAACTAAAAGACCTCCAAGGCCCCTTCCGTTATCCTGTTAACCCGTCCCCCACCTCTGACTCCATCTCCATCTTCATTGCTTTAAGTGCAGACATTTCTCGGCTAAATCCAAGCCAGGAAGATCTTTAGCGGACATGAATCTTTAATGTAAAAGATGCTCAGAGCCACAGACGAAAAGTCACATGCTAGAATATGTCAGGGGTGCTTTATTATGAATCAGGAGATGTGGAAAGAGGAGGAGACAAACCAGGACGATTGGAAAGTTTTGGTGGAAACAAGAATTGGTTGTCAATCTTCTTCCTCCTTCTTGACATTGTAGGGAGGGAGTTACACATTTATTTTATATTCCATACTTCTTAATCGGCCATTCAATCAATAACATTAAGCGTTATAATTTTGTATTAAAAATGAGGAATCTTTGGTGCTCTCTGA